TAAATTGTGACAAGACTCGAATGTGTCGAAAGAAAGAATGGACAGTTTGGCGCCAACACCTAAATACCAGCTGGGAGCGGAGCCGAAGTGACCACTAGCTCATAGGGACTGACCAATCGGACGGGGGGGACTGAACTGTAATCACAGTGAACTAGCCAGGGGTCAGAAATCTGACCAGGGACGTAAGGAGATAATTAAAAGATTTGAGAGACGCCAAATCGCCACCATTAAAAGAATATAATAGCCTTCAGGATCACAGGAGCAATACACAAGGAGCTGTCGAGGTTGTGGTAGGACTGGAGGAGGGATACCTGGACTAGAACTGTCCAGGTTTTATGTGGTTATGATAGGACTGGAGGAGGTATACCTGGACTAGAACTGTCCAGGTTTTATGTGGTTATGATAGGACTGGAGGAGGTATACCTGGACTAGAACTGTCCAGGTTTTATGTGGTTATGATTGGTCCGGCCACCAGTGCCAAGTGTGATGACATCCGATACAATGGCCAACTTCAAACCATTACCTTTAATTACACCAGTGTGTTTTACGCTACACTTCTGTTTCGCTCGTGCCACCATTGATTGGACGCGGTCTCCTTAACCTCTGTCTGATTACCTGCTCTCATCGATGGTATATCTCTACAGTGACTATTGTTACCATCAGACCTAACTGTACAAATTCAATTGCCATCAGTTAATTACCTGTGGCCTAGATAAAACTGAAGTATATATTTTACATCCATGCCAAATTAAGTCAGATCTGTGTATTTAGTATCCCCATTTAGATTTAATGAACATGTGGGTGGCTATCTATTTAGTAATTACTATTTGGCAAGTTGCGGTACTAAATCAAACACAAATTTAATTTAGCGAAATCTTAATCACCCAGTGATGTTGAGTTTTCTCAAACTTTCTGACATAGATATTTTTACTACAGTAATTAATCACACTTTACCCATATATTGCAGATACATACAAACACTGGAACCTGTCTCATCTGACCCTGGCTTTAATTCAATACGCTTATTTCCTGAAATACAATCAATGTCACCCAAATATAGTACACTGAAATTAAGCATCCAAGCTGATTTCCTGTGCCCTACCTGTGGGGGAATCTATGTAAGGTATTTCCCTAGCTGTTGATTAACTCTAATTCATACAAGAAAAGCAAATCCATGTTAACAAAATTTCCCTGTACAGTTACCCTAGCTGGATATATTGATTTCTTTTTCATGTCTTCAGCTGATCAATACAGCATTTCTAATTTTCTATATACCTATACACATCAAATTCCCCGTACTTTAATGTCAGACTCATGATCAGGGGCAATACACTACCTGTACAGCAGCTAGTACTAAAGGTTTGGTTAATTTCATGATCAGGTCAACAAAACTCCAACTCAGCAGTACTTCAATATCTGGTTAATGTGATAATCTGGTAAACAAAATTCCCCATAAAAAGCTGTTTTATTCATCTTATTCTTAAAATTTAATTGAAAAAAATTACACCAGGGTGACAGTGGTTCAGGCCTGATAAGTGGACTGTATGAAGTTACACCTGCAGAGTGACAGTGGTTCAGGCCTGATAAGTGGATTGTATGAAGTTACACCATAGTTACAGTGGTTCAGGCCTGATAAGTGGACTGTATGAAGTTACACCAGGGTGACAGTGGTTCAGGCCTAATAAGTGGACTGTATGAAGTAACACCAGGGTGACAGTGGTTCAGGTCTGATAAGTGGACTGTATGAAGTTACACCAGAGTGACAGTGGTTCAGGTCTGATA